ACCCCCCCACCAAAATCACCTAACCCAGAGTTTTGTATACAGTAGGCATTCCAACTATGCTCTGAATATTTTGAAACATAGAGAACAGCAATTGATTTTTACTACATGAACCCAATTTGGACTATAAATCTATCATATCCACTTGACAAATTATAAAACAAAGAGCCCATGAGCATGGACAGTACCCAGTCTGCTTCTAGAAGATGCAGCCTCTGGAAGCAGACTGCTTTGCCAAAACAACAAAGTATGTGCAGCACATGTACATAAGTAAGAATGAAATGTATGCATGTTTAGTTAACCAGTAAAGATTGATAGAATAGGTTACAGAGTCCTAAATGTTCAGAGAATGTGAGAAAGCCTGAATGCAGGTGTTGAAGAACCTAGGCTCAAACCCAGTGGTACCACTTCAAGTAGTGTAGCCTGCGGCAGATCATAACACCTCTCTAAGGATCAGTTTCATCTTTTAAATAAGTATATAACGCATATACTCACATTTCTTTTCACCATTAGATTTTTCTAAAAGTCATGCAAGTTAATATAATATCTAATATTTAATGTTACAGAGCTTGCAAAGCAATTTCATATAAATTATCTCACTTTAATCCTTAAAACTTAACTGTGAGGTTGGTATTATTCCCATTTTTCTGTTACTTAATTTCCACTAGATTCAAGTTCCGTGGGAGTCAGAACTTTGTCTTCCTGTTTATCACTGTATTCCCAGACTTTAATGTTAATGTAGCACCTGAGACATTGTAGGCACTTTAAACAAACATTTTAAACTAAGGTTCAGTGATATTGTGACTAACTGAAGCTGGGACCCATGGGAAAAGCTTTTTATACTTGGCTTATTATAGAACAAAATAATATTATGACTAACGCCTGATATAGAAACTAGAAAGTAAAACCATCTTATTTATTCAGTCCAAAACTGATTTGGATAATCTACAACAAAACAGCAAGTGGATAGTGCTAGAGGATCTATTAAAGCTCTTTCATTATATCACTTTGGGAATTATGCATTGAAAAAATAATGTTTAGTCAGAGATTTTTTCCCTTTAAATTATATTAAGAAGACATAGTTCCCAAGCTTAACAAAGGCTATCACTTTTAATATTATCTTGAAAGTCTAGAACATTATTAAAAACAAACACATTGTACTTCCTTTTGGAGGGAATGAACAGAGGTGAGTAGAAAGTCTGAAAGCAGAGGCTGAGTGGGGAAATCAGCATCCATAGGAAACATCCTTAAATAAGTAATTGGGAAGCAACAGATCTTGTAACACAACAGGGGAAAATTGCTGGAGGGGTTTTAATTTTAAAGCTAAAAGCGACCTGTGAATAATCTAAGAATAATCTGTTTGTAGAGAAATTAGAGCTAGGGCTTGTTTTGTTAAGTATCTTGAGAGGAAAATGAAGAAAGCAGAATAAAAGTTAGTGGTTATTGTACTACTTGAGTAAGAGTTAACATATTATGTTCAAACATTTTTTAAAATCTTAATACAGATCTTTTTGTGTTTATTTCACCCCTTACCTACCAACATATCTAATTTGTAGGAATATATTAATGAGTAGCTAGATTCTTCCAAAAAATAATAACGTGTTACCATTACTTCCCTTCTTAGTTATGCTCCTCCAGGGTTAGCCAAACTACAGCAGCTCTTTTGTTCCCCTGGTGGAAATGCCTGGAATTGCAGGAATAGTTTTAGGAGGAGCAATCTCCAATACATAGCTGAAGAAAACACAGATCTCCATTCATATATTCAACAAACACTTATTAGGCACTAAAAAACACAGATCTCCATTCATATATTCAACAAACACTTATTAGGCACTAAAAAACATGAGATGATGGAACATAAAGATGAATTTCAGTGACAGCAAAGTTTTAAAATACTTAGGAGTATACTGTACACTGATGTGACAAAGGGCTCAGATGAAACTGAAATATCTAGCACATAACATTTAATTATTGAATTTAAAGTATTACAATCTAATTAATGTTTGTTCTGGTTGTACATTTATTAGCACCTTGATGATTATCAGCACCATATGTACTAATACATGTCAGCACCATATGTATTTATAACAGGATTCCAGCTCTTGAGAGAATAATTTACCCCAATATATATCTCATGGAGAACACTTGTTTACTCCTGACTGTGATAAAGCCCTGATAATTTATTGGGCCAGTTTGAGTACCTGCTACAACTGATAGTTGCCAAAAAAAATGTGAAAAGTAAAAGAAAAAATTATGTGTTCTGATGAGCAATTTAATACAGAATGAGCACTATTCACTTTTCTTGGATGCTGCTCAATTACACCACTCCTCAGGAGAAGAAAAACCTAAATTTCATTTGATTTTGCAACAACATAACCTAAAACACTAACTTGTGAACTGAAATGCCTCCTTTAAAACCTGTTGAAAACTATTACTTTGCTGACTAGTTCAAAACAGTTGCAAATACATAGTCTATAATTTAGGGCCTCAGCAAATTAAAACTATTTCCTGGCCTGCCTAAGGCCACAGAAGTTACTGTAATAGGCTCTGGAGGCAGGTTGTAAGGAAACTAGTGGATGCATGAAAGTCTTTTTAAAATACACATTAACTTTTGTTTGTTTCTGTATCACTTAGGGATACCAAATGAACCAAGATCCCATGCACCGAACTTCACCTCTTGATTAGAATATAAATACTTGATTTAGAGGTGCTTTTCTTTCTTTCGACTTACCTTTATTCTTGAAATAGAAAGCACTGATGTCCATCTCTATGTGTAACCCGCTTCCTGGCTTAGAAAATGAAATCCACTTTCCAAGCTGTCTATTTATACAGCTCCAGGAAAAGCCATCCATTAGAACAGAGCTGGAGATATAAAAAAGATTCAGATCCATATCAATCCATTCAGGGTTTTTAATCTTTATTCAAACATTCATTGAGCATATTCCAGGTACCAGATACTTGCACAGTTCTTGAAATACAATGAAGATAAAAATTGAACTCAAAGAGCTTACGGTCTAGCGGCCTAAAGCATAAACTTTGTTCTTTCTGAGCTTATGAACACAGCCCTCAGATCTCTCCAGAGCTGCCCTGTGAGCCTCGCTTTCTAAGTGATACTTTGTCTGGCTTCCAGAGGCTATATAAAAATAAAGCCTTTCAATAAGTGGGAGAAGCTTGCTCTGGGGAAGGATTTTATGCATTCCATCCTATTGTTACTCTCTCTCTAGAACAAGAAACAAAGGGGAGGTGTTAGAAAGGAAGCATGTGGACACTCAAACAGGAAACATTATAGAGAAAACTCAGCAAGGCAGATAGGGGAAGAAGGGCTTTGCTTAATTTTTCTCTCAAAGCAAGGGTATCCCACTTTCAGAGCCAGTTTTCTCTTTCAATATAACACTCAGGAGTATGTAATCTTAGATGAATTCATGTGCCTCCTTTCCTCTATCTTTTATTGGCATTAAATAATTAATAAATTTTGGGGTAACAAAAACTGTAATAGCAATTTTTAGGAATCTTCCTCCTATATTTGCACACTTGGCTCTCAACTTCTGGAACTGCCTTCTACATAACACACTATGTATTTGTTACTTAAATGTTCTCGTTTCTTCAAACAAAACATACAGGTAAAGAAGTTTGGTGACTAGAGCAAAGAACCTCTTTACAAAAGGGCCAAACACCACACTATCTTGAAATGAAAACACCCAAATCTTTTCCTAACTTTTCCTGAAGTTAACAGTCTTTTGAGCCCAACTTTCTGGGGAGTGATTGAGGACTGAAGGAATTGGGGTTGGCAAGAAAAATGTCTCTCCCTCTGAAGCTTCTGGCTGCATACTCTGAAAAGACAGGGCATTTGAAGAAAGAGCATAATCAGCCTGTCAGAAACAGTTTGATTTCACTTAAATACCAGGCAATCTGACAACAACTTTTCCCACAACTAAGAAGAATCTCCTAACATGAGAGGCACTTGAAGACGTGTTAAAATTTTTACAGCTATTAACACATTCCTAAGAAAAATACTGCTGGAGGCACAAGAAAGCCAAGGATAACAATCTTCTCTTTTCCAATGAAAACGTTTAGTCTGTTTGATTAAAGGAAGATAAATGAAAGGGCAAGGGCAAACTCACCTCACATTCTGTGCTACAGTTTGGTTTCCCTTGAGACCAAATTGTCTCGCTTAGGAAAAATGTAGTCTGTCTTCAAGTCCCTGTATTCCCGGAGCAAGGAATCAGATGAGGAATCACTTAGCATTCAGCACATCTCAACTGGCTCTGAAGGGCCTGAATTCTCTGGCAACCTTGACCAGGGATAAGCAGAAAGGAGAAGGCAGGGCATAGCCATCAATTTTTGTTTCCTTCTTCTCCTTATCTCCCTATTCTAAGAGATTCAAAGAGAGGTGCAGATAGCCCTCCAATAAGAACAAAACCCTCTGGACCAGGGGACCTGGGCTCTCGTCCTAGCTCTGCAATAACTGTGACCTTGAAAAGCTCTTTGTTGTCGCTAAGCTTCATTTTTCTCTTCCATTACATTAGGGCGTTGGTCTAAAATAGTATTTTCACACTGTGAGTTGGGGCCATTCGTAGGACATAAAGTCAGTTTAGTCAGTTGCAACAGGCAATGTTTGGAAAGGAAAGAAGATAAGATAAGGGATAAGGTAGGGAATAGGTTGGGATGGGATGGGATGGGATGGGATGTGACGAAACATAGGACAAGATAGGTTAGGACAGGACAGGATAGAAAATACCACACTGTTTCATTTTTTTTTTTTTAATTGGTGTTCACAGAAGCCAGCATTCATTGATGTTTTTACAACTTCCCCAGGTCCACCAAGCTTCTTGATCTCACTTCTTCTAGAAGAAAACCCAGCCAAGGTGGCACAAGCTGTAGCCAGTGCCACCCAGGCACATCTCCACAGTCCATTGTATAGGATGTTGGCAGTTGTCCTGCCCTTTAAGTGCACTGTGAGGTTATTGTCCACCTCAGTTCGTCGGGAGAGACCTAGTGTGGGTGTAGGGGTGCCTGATGAGAAAGGGGTGCTGGTTCTTCCTTACATCATATCCCCTGCCTGTCCCAGCCGGGCTCTGACTCAGCCAGCAGACTGGAGTCCTCTTCTGCATGGTATATTCTTTCCTGAGACTTTTCTTTCAATTAGGGGGGTGTGTGTGTGTGTATGTGTGTCTTTCTGTTTTTGTGTGTGCATGTGTGTGTCTTAAAATATAGTTCTATGTATTGTGTCTAGAAAAATGTTTGATAAACACTGGATTAAATGATCTCTCAGATTTCCTCTAGCTCTTGTCATGTGGAATTTGGTAAATTATACAGACACCATTCTGATCAGCCTACACTCTGGGTGGGTCCATTCCATAACTCATACACTACACTAATGAATATGAATCTATTTTTATGTGACTTGAGGCCATTGAAATTTTGTGTATGTTTATGTTCATGTCTTAATGTGCAAGTGTATTTGTGTTTTTATCTCACCTAATACAGGACCTAGCCACATTGCCAGCACTGAAGTACAATGTGACTGACTACAGCAAAACAAAAATGCAGTGGAGATCAATGGCCTTCAACCCCGAAGAAATTAGTTTCTAGAGAAGTTTAGGGCTATACTTCAGTGCCTAGGGCTATGTTTGCTTGATGTACAGAAGGAATAAGTGAGGGGACATACATGTATTGCTGTACTCTAGTATCCATAAAGAATGCTCCTTTGGGAATATGCCAGTGTGAAAGTAGTTGTTTATAGAACTGAGGTACATGGTCTTGTGACTCGAAAACACTTGAAACAAGAGTATAACTGCTACATAATCATTTCAAAATTCCTGTTTACTCACTGTTTTATTCCTTGGGCATAGCACTGTGCCCAGGACACAGTAGACATAATAAGATATCTGTTGGAGTCTTATGTGACTTTGCTAACCTGGGAGGAATCTGCTATTTCATTAGATTGGACCTTGGTTCTTTCTAATTAATTAAGGTCAGGAAGGACTATGATATCCACCCCATTAGCCAGAATCTAGTCACATAGCACCAACCTAACATAAGGAGGTTCATATCAATGAAATAAACATGGGTATTTAGTGAGTACTAATATTCTCTGTTAATATGATCACTCCCTCCCTTCTTGAAACACTTTATTAACTTAGCTTTCAGAAAACAGTACTCTCTTGGTTTTCCTTTGATCTCACTGGCATGTCCTTCTAGGTATCCTTTCTGAGTCCTTTCCTTTCACTTCTGTTCCTTTGCTCAATATGAAGCTCAGTGACTTCATGTTGGTAGCTTGAAATCATTCACAGTGGGAGTATTTACACCATGGAAATTGGCAAATGCCACAAATTAGGGCTTTGTCTTCAGAGAGCCAATTGTTATACATTTACTGGCTCACTACTGGCTCTATTTCTATTTTTAATGGTTCTGTTTGAAATTGTATTATGCATATTTAACTTAACAAAGTCTAAAAATTAAAAATGTCTTGAACCCCTTGGGAATGATACAGACCTTTAAAGTAACTGGTTTTCCTCCACTGAAATTATAAACTTGTCCAATATTTTAGCTCTGTGTATTTTATAGCACCATAAAATATATGGTGTTATTTTACTTTACACAATATTTATGTTTCTGTTTATCATTTACATTCTCACTATTTTTGTGTCTAGACCATCCTTCTGAGATCAGTCTCTTTTTTCTTAAAATGCAGTCTTCATGAGTTCCTGTAGAGTGGATTCTTTGGTAGTAAATTCCCTTGAATTTTTGTAAGTTCTCTTGCATCTGTAAAAGACTGTCCTCAAAATGTAAAATTTTGCCCTCATTCTTCAAAGATGTTTTTGTGTTTTGTTTTTTGTGGGAGGAGGAGAAGAGGAGTACAGGTTGACAGTTATCTATCAGCATTTTAAGAACATTATTCCACAGTCTTCTGGCTTCCATTTTTCACTGTGGAGAACACTGCTGTCATTATAATTGTTGTTCCTGGGCAGGTGATCTACCCTTTCCCTCGGGTTACTTTCTGTATTTTCTCCTTGTCTTAATATTCTGAAAACGTATTATGATGCTTTTAAGATGGATTTCTTTTTCTTTATCCTGCTGGAGCTGTGTTGTGCTCTTTGAAAGTGTGTTGTCATAATTTTTATTAGTTTTGGAAAATTAATACTTGCTACTTTGTTATATATTGCCTCTCCTCCGTTCTCTCAAATCTCTTTTTTCAAATTCTTATTGAACATATGTAAGACCTTCTATTTTTACCTTCTATATCTTTCAACGTTGATACCACATTTCATTTCATCATCTCTGCAACATTCTAGATAGATTTTTCAGATTATTTTTTCAGCTCATTTACTTTCCTTAATTTTGTTTAATCTGTTATTTTTACCCATCCATTAAGTTTTTTTGAATTACAACACTTACAATTGTTTATTTCTAGAAGTCCAGCTTTTTAAAATTACCATATTTGCTTGTCTTTTGCTGTTTGTTCATCTTTCAGTTGCATCCTTTATTTTGTTAAATGTTTCAAACTTAGCAGTTCATAGAGGTTCAAATCTATTGTTTATTCTTTCCATTGACTGTCCTTCACATGGCCTACTTTCTAGTGTATTTAGTAATTTCTGTATGTGAACTCATGTTTTGATATTTTTCTGTGAAAGTCCTACAGCCTTAACTTGGGGAAGCATTCCTCCAGCGAAAGTTTTCTTCTGTCCCTGCTGGTGATCAGTGGGCACTTATAACCCAGATCTACTTCAGTCTTCCAGAAGAGTTTAACCAAAGACCCGGTTCAACTTCCTCTCACTAATATTTCCAGTGCTTAGTATCTCCATAACAGTGTCGCTGTAGTAACACAGCCTCAAAGTTATCAGAATTCATCCCTCCAGCCTACCTGCAGGATCTGGTACACCCCCTACTGCTCTGACACCCAGCTACTCCAGCTCTCCTATTGTTCTGGCCCCATTCTCTCACCTCTGCAGCCTTGATCGCAGCCACCCATGCTCAGCCCAACCCCACTTGAGGCTATTGGCTGCCCTGAACCAAACATAGGGGTGCTCAGGCCACGTGCTTCAGGGCAGGCAAACAAAGTACAACACAAGGAAAAATGCATTGGATTGGACAAAGAGCAACTCCCTCTGCCTAAAATATTCTCCATCCCCACTCCTCTACCTGGAAAGCACTCAGCTGTCCTTTAAAATTTAACTTAAACATCATTTCTAGGAGGCCTCTGATAACCATGTCCTACTTATGCCCCTACTTACCCCAACTGGATTTAAGGCTGACTCCCTCCTTGCTCCTAAGTAACTTCTTCTTTTTATTTAATTATTTCTAATTCTTGGAAATAGTAAAAAAATGCCTAAATACTAATAACAAATTTTTGATACTGCTCTCATGTGCAACAAAACTACCAACATTATATTAAAAAGCAATAATCGAGAATGTTTATTTCTGATCAATTTGTTATTTCACTGAATATCCACTCAATTTTTTTTATGTTAACAAGACTTTTTTCAGGTTTATTGAGATATAATTGACAAATAGAAATTGTATATATTTAAGTTGCATAACTTGATGTTGTTATACATATATATATGTATATGCATTGTGAAATGGTAAGTGATGACAAGAATCAAACTAGTTTGTTTTATTTTCAACAAAATTGTTTTTAAACCAATTATCACTTATTCCTTTGTGAGACCACAAGATCCTACATGTGTTTTCATATAGCCCCGCCAAACTTTTATTTCTGTACTTGTATCCTAGACTACTAAACTGTCGATTTCTTGGAGGTAGTAACCACTTACCTTTATCCCTAGCAGACAGTAGATTGCCTCATATTTATTATTCACTTAATATGATTAAAGTAATGGATGAAGAGAAACCAGAATAATATTGATACCTTTCAGTCTAAGTAAAGTATGCTAACTTCTGCCTTTGTAAGCAAGTAGGCATATGTTTTGTACATAACTGTTTATGTTTTTTTAAAATTGGGTGCATCTGTGAATAATGGATAATTGTTTGTGTAAAAAGCTCTTTGGTCTGTTGCAAAAATCATGATCATGAAATCTAGAACCATGATTGCATAGCTCACAGTTTTTATAAAAGAGAACACTCAAGGAAAAAAATGTTGGTTTCTACTTCATTCTGTTTGCCCTCTCTGGAATCACTTTCCACCTAATTATTTATTACATAAATATGTAGAATTGTCCACACACTGGGACTTGGTGAGATGAATCTAAGGATGACTTGTCAAACTCCTAAAAAAGATCAAAACGAATTCCGAAACTGAAGATTTATCAGATATCACTTGTTTTGCCAGATCTTCCTTAATTCTTTTATCACTCAGTGTTCTTAAACAGATGCTTTTTTTGAGGGAAGAGAGAGCAGAGGCTGTAATTTTCCCACAATTTACTTCAATAAATATTTACTGAATTGAATATCAGTCTTTATTCATGCTGATTCTGTTGATCTACTTCATGAAACAACTTACATGTTCTATTAAAAGCAATTAAAAGTTGAACATAACAAATAGGGCCCTACAAATATTGGCTGTCACATCCAAAAGTGATAGATTTAGATTGCTGATTCTACAAAGATCCTATATTTGATGTCAACATCTTAGCAAGCATGGCCAATGACGACGTTTAGTGTATTTCTTTAAAAGGTTTGTAATCCTTTCTAGATTGAAATGCCCAAATCATTGAGCAAAAGAGACTAAATTTCATTATCATTGATCCTATTAGAAAAATAAGTAAGTTGGTCCAATAAATTTTGAAATCAAGACTAGAGCAACCTTAGATCGTGTGCTAATGTTAGCAAAAATAACAGAATGTGGAGATTCAAATCCATGTGGGATGCAGTAGCCAAAGGTTTTTGAATTCATTAGTTTTCCATTTTGATGGTATATAGTAGGAAGCAGACTAGTAGGTAAAGTAGTGAGACAGATCTGCTGAGATCTCATGGGCATGTCTTCTTTCCTGGGGATTCCCAAATAGAGTCAGCAAGAAAGGATGAGGGGTGCTAAGGGAGCTACCTGTCAGATTGTTCTGTGCATTTTTATTCTATAATATTCCTGCTGGACCCCAAGAAAATACGACCATGGGACATGCAAGAAAGATTGCTAACAATGTGTCTTATCTTCACTTTCCTTGTTTAATAATTATCTTTAGGATATAAACAATCCTAGACAGTATTTTAAGTGCACTCCATATTTTAAAGACCCAAATAAAAATTGAGTGCAAATGAATAACCCTTTTATAATGAAGACACAATGATTTTAAATACAATAGTTTCCATACTATTTACTGTATACTTGATATAATGGCAACTTTGCCCCCTAACTCTGCCAAATAGCCTAGAGAACTTCATTGTCAATTTTTATGTCTAATGCCACCCAAACTTTTTAATAGAAATCCCACTGGTCAGTGTGTATACTTCAAGTGGTGATTCTGTGCTATGTAAGCTATGTAAGTGCTGATTATGTGCCAGGCACCATTACAAGTGATTTACATTTATGAGATGATTTAACCTTACAAAATCTCTATGAAGTAGGTACTATTATTATCCTCTTTTTACAGATAAGGAAACTGAGGCTTAGAGAAGTTATGAAACTGCCCAAGGTTTCACAGCTGAAATGTATAAGGTCCTGGACTTGCAAATTTGGCACAAAATTCTTCTAATAAGGAGGCCATAAAATAACCAAATGATTTTTTATGTGCCTATAGAACCAAAAGAACTATTTCAGAATGTCAGCTGAAATGCATGATATTTCAGATAGGTAAGAAAGTCAAAGCTCAGGAGAATCAAAGTTCTGTGGACTATCAACTTTCCTCAATTTTCCTTCTCTTCTAGGGACTTCTTTACTCCTAGAATAGAAAAGCTTGGAGAATCCGTAGGAAGTTAAAGACAAAGTCAATATCTCCTGTTAAAAGTCAGGGTGAAATCACATATCTTATGTATTGTTAATTCTTCCCACAGAGGTATTTTAGAATAAGTCCTGTCTGATTGCATGGTGAATAGCACCTTGTTTACCCCAATGGGAAATGAGTTGGAGCATCCAACCCTTACACCCTCAGTTTAGATTATTTCTCTTCATAAAGTCATGAGACATGTGCTATGGTTTGAGTCTGCCCCGCAGCTGTTTATATGTTGGGCTTGTCCGTTTGTTGCTAACCTCCTCTTGGTACCTTTTTTTTTTTTTTTTTTTGGCATAAGTAGTAATTTTGTTGTTCATAGTGCAATAGCAGTTGACGTAATTGCAGATATGCTTCAAGATTTTCAAGATGAATTGTTCTATTTCCATTCAATTGGACAATAGCTTCCGCATTCTGGATAAAGATCTGCCTCACAATAGTTTTGTGTGAAAGGAAAGAGAAAAGAGTCAGAATAGAGATAGGAAGATTTTCAGTGTATTCAAATACCATTGAGGTATGGTGTGTATGTAAATATATATGTGTGTGTGTGTATATATGTATGTATACATACATGTACTAAATTTGCATTTAACTAAATACAATCACTGTAATTTCTATCATTATATTGTCTCGTCCCCTTCTTTCCTCAACTAGTATAAAATACTTGATATCCATGAGGTTAACTGGAAAGGGAAGGCTATGGTTGACAACACATATTCATTCACCTTCATAAGTTGGGGACTTACTCTATTGAATAATCAATTTTGGAAAATAATAGTACAAAAATCAGCACATAGGCAACAAGTGTGAAAAATGCCTAGTAATAGCCTGTGCTGCAGAATTTCTGTCTTGGCCAAAATTTATAATCAAAATGAAGAAGCCATAAAATAAGAAATATTTTTGGATCTCAAACATAGATCATGAGGGAGAAAGGAAGAGCAAGCAGTCTTTAGAAAAGACAAAAAGTAATGAAAAAGTATCTCTAATTCAACAGTATTTGGGGAAGTTAAGCTTGGGAAACATTTCTGATGGACTAGCATTTGGGACGCCAAGCAACCAGCAAGGCGTAATCTGGGAAGGCCGTTTCACCCTTCATTCCATTGGAGGCAAAATCGTGTTGATGTATAAATGTACCTTCTGGTTTCCAATTGTTCTCACTCAGCAATGAGGCATGAAGCCTGAGAAACCACAGATATTTGGATCTAAGAAGGTATTTTATTTCCCCTCTCCAGAGTGGAAAATACACAAGGGCACTTTATCTCAATCCTGTGAGTTCTCATAAACCTATAACCCTCTTCCCCTGAGCTTCATGCTCTTTAACTTGATCTGTACATAATTCTATTACCTAAAATGCCCCTGGTATACACATCCTAGACCAGGTGGAAGATGGGGTCTCTTTCTTCCTCACACATTTCACACCTTGCCCTTCTAGCCTTTCGGTGCCAGAAACAGATTATCTTAAAGTGAAGCAGTAGCATAGTTGGACTTCAGCCTCCATATGCTTTAATTTTCTTATTGAAAAGGAGAAAAATGGTTCTTCCCTTGCCACACACACACACACACACACACACACACACACACTCCACACACCCTTTTTTCCCCCAAATCTCCACATCATCTGAATTCCTTAATTCCCAAGACTGAATCAATCCCAATATCTTCTATCAGGGAAAAAAGCGAGACAGAGCAATGAATTCAGGGCTTCCCGGAGTGGTTTTTACTTTCCCAAATCCTTAGAGACTTCGCTCTGCAATTTTTTTCTCAGCTGTACTTGGAAGCTATAACAGATCCAGAGGCCATTTTAGAACCTCATTTATATTGTCCTGACACTTAGGAATCCAGTTTCTGTTATAGGGATGTCATCAAAGTTGGTGGGCTCAAAATATGACCTACTTTTTAAAACCCATCTGTTAGGAGCCTATAGATTTTCTTGGTTTGTTTCTGACTGTCTACAGAAAGGGCAACAGCAACATTCTCACTTTCCAAGCCTACCTCCCAAATAGCAATAAACTAAACACCATGAAGGAGCTGAATGCCTTTCAAATATGCAGCAGGCACAAAGCAAACAAATAAACAACAGTCATATTCCTTAATCTGGAGAAAAAATGATGAGAGCAGGAAGTACTGTTCAGGTTAATTTATGCACATCTAGGCTATTTTAATTTAAAAACTTACTCTGGACCAAACAGAACCAGTTAGCTTGCCACACCTTTGCCACTGTGGGGTCACGATGTTACAATTCTCTATAACAATGAGTCTCCTAATACCACACATCTAACAAAGAGGGATTTGGGAATTCCAAGTTGAAGCTGATGAATTATTTAACATAAATCACTATTACCCATGGATTGGTGAGTTGATCTTCAATGTACCCTTCCCATTGATTTTATCCTAGCTAGATGGCTAAACATACATACACACGCACGCACGCACTCAATGAAATCTCTAAATTTCCCCCAAAGTCTATCATTCCTGGATTAGAATAAAGCCACAAATAGGGATGGTGGAAAAAGAGAGAGAAAGAAGGGAGGGAGGAAGAAGGAGGGAGGGGAATGGTCAGGAACAGGGAAAGTGGAAAAGGAGAATAGGACATTCATATATACTGGCTATTCAGCTAAGTTGTTTATCTACCTAAAATACACATTGCACATTTTTTATCATTTCATTTTACATCATGGTGACCCCGACCAAATTTTGGTTACTAAGTGACTGACTCAGAAGTACATCGTAATATGATTGAGGATCCTATTTTAGAGTCTTTTAATTAAAGCCCAGCCTCCTCATGTCCATGCCTCCCATCTCCAGTTCTGTAAAGAATCTTCTTTCTCTATTACTGACCCTGCACTTCACTCTACTCTTGCCAGTTTTATGCTCAAAACCTCTCAGTGGCTCTGCCTGGTCCACTGGAAAAGTTCTGAGTTCATAGCCTCATATACAAGGCCTTCTGCCTTCTGACTCAAAGCTTCAATTTTAAACTTATATTTACTATGCCTTGATTTGAATGCTCACAAAAATAGCTCTCCCACTTCTAGAATTATATCTATAATTTAAGTGAGAAGAATAAAACAAGAGAGGAATAAGAAGTAAAATGTAGACTCTGTAGTAGGAAAGCAAACATTTTTCAACAAATCCCTAAAACACACGAATTTATATCTTATTGGCCTGAAGTGTTCATATAGTTACAAATAGCTACAAGGAAGTCTGGGAACAAATAATTCCCCAGAGAAAACTGAGGTTCTGATAGTAAGGAAGAAAGGAAGAATGGTTATTGGGTAAACAATCTGCAATGTGTATCCAAAAGCCCAAAGCCAGTAGTGGAAGGAGGCTACAAGATATTTTGGTAACAGAAATTATACAAATACATATGCTGTGCAGGGCTAAGCTCTACATAGTAGCCTATGAATTTAGACAGGTTTTTGTTATAACAAATCAACTCTAGGCAGATGGGATATAAAATATCCCAAATTATTACATCCATATATAAATATTTTTATAATTCCTTTGCTCTCATTTCTGAGTTCTGAGACCAAGTCATGAGTTGCTAACAAACAGAATGTGGTACAAAACATCAGTTATTATAATACTGACAACTCAACTATTCTTTTGAATTAAAAGATCTTAGTCCTGGGATAATAATAAATATGAAAATTATCCAATATTTTAGTAACCAGCTTGAGCACAGGCACATTAAGGTGGCTGATATTTTTGTGCTGAATCGAGCAAAAATTACATAAATATTTACACAACCTTATAGCCGGAAGGGAATGGATCATGATTAAAATAAATCAGTCTCTTGGCCAGATGTGGTGGCTCACGCCTGTAATCTCAACATTTTGGGAGGCCGAGGAGATCAGATCACCTGAGGTCAGGAGTTCGAGACCAGCCTGGCCAATATGGTGAAGCCCCACCTCTACTTAAAAAAAAAAATTAGCCGGGTGTGATGGTGGGTTCATGTAATCCCAGCTACTAGGGAGGCTGAGGCAGGAGAATTGCTTGAACCTGGAAGATGGAGGTTGCAGTGACCCGATATTGTGTCACCACACTCCAGCCTAGGTGATAGTGTGAGACTCTGTCTCAAAAAAAAAAAAAAAAATTTTTTCTCTACATGAGAATTTGCACTAAAATTGAAAATAAATGAAAGTATGAAAGTATGCTGTGTATACTTGCACTGTATAGACATGCAAGTATGTCAGTTACTTTAAGATAGGTGAAGTCTAGAAGTGAGGATGGGCAGGAGTGATTATCTTTGTGATCTAGCCTGTAAGCCTGTAGTGAGTCACATTCTTTATGTCTAAGAACTGTGACTGGTACATAATGCTGAACTGTTTGCTGGAAAATAAAATGAAGTTTTATCATAACCACATTGAACTATGGTGGAAGTATTCCTTAAAGGAACCAAGGAGAAGTCACTTCCGGGCTTTGCACCAATAGAGAAACTTGCTATCCTTCTTCCACTGTGTTACCACTGTCTGCTGATTTCAGCTGGTCTTCTCACTTTTTGATACTCTTATTTTTTACTTCCACACTATCTTTGCTTTTAAAATGTAAGCTCCCAGAGGTCTGTGTTCTTTGCTTTAATTTTAACAAGCTTCTAAGTCAGCAACAAAGTGTTCTATGCCCAAATCTGAAAAAGCCCAGGCACAGTCCAAGAACTCAGCCTTCCAAGGTATACTTTGCAACTGACTTGCTGTGTTGGCACCAGGCAATTCATCTCCCTCCTTCCATTCATTCATTGCTGAATAGTAATAATAGTCATCCTTACTTACAGCAGTGTTTCCTTTGTCATTAAATATTTACTAAGCATCCACTGCATGACACAAACTTGGAGCTACACAGGCTAAACCAGCCAGATGCTGTCCTTGGCTTCAGAGAGCTTTTATGATACAAAAGACAGGCGGAGGCTGGGCACATAAGTACAGGTTAAGAGTATGCAAACTTGTGTGTATATGCATGTGTGTGTGTGCCAAAGAACAAAGGATTGAATCACAGCCATTTGCTATTTTTTTTTACTACATGTGTTAGCCTTAATTTTAGGTTATCTTTGGCCATGTGTAAACGGAAATATATTTGAACTTCAAAAGCATTGAACTTCACACTAGAGAGTAACCAGATTCTGCCTCTTTTTCTGTTTTCACAAAGGGCATTCACTAGCATGTACCTAAAGGTACTGACATAGCAGGTACACAGTATGACCCCACAGAAGAATAATGAGCAATCAAACATTCACAGCAACAATGAGACCGTGGCTAATGAGATCACACCATGCAATGAGATAGGTTGGTGTTACCTAAGTGCATAATACCACTACAACATTATTCTTTATGGTAGAGATCAACATAGACTGAATTGAAATGGTTATTTCTGCTATGAAAATACTATCTCTGGACAGAAGACGGCATTTAGAGAAATGGGAACCAAGAGGGTATAGAATGGAAATTATGCTGTGTTAATATGTCTCCAGCTATGAAGCCCCAGCCATTCCCATTAACCTTGTGTCAATTTGTATTATTAAGAGAAGTCAATTATGTGAGGTACATTAGAATTGTTTTTAAGCCAGCAATAGTTGGAGGTTGTCATCTGGGACCTAGCTGTGTTTCCCTTGTTTGCTTTTTCTGAAAGATGAAAATCTGCCATTTTAGCCTCAATGCCTCATAATATGTATGTTAAACTCACCACTGCCTCATTATTTATTAATGTCAATTTATTATACTTCAGTAGAGGATGGAGGCCGAAGCCACAACAGTGACAGATATTCCAGAAGATCAGCTTATATAATGAGAAGTTGGGCCAAATCTGTTGAAAGCAGTGTTTTTTGAAAAAACACACTGACTTCAAAGAAATGAGTTGTGGCATCTGTAACATCTACAGGAGCAGCGCCAATGGAGGCTAGCGGGTCTGCAGAGGAGCAGCTCAAGTCATGCGATTATTGGAACTTGCAGCAAAATGACTGGAACAACATCTGGGCTGCAGCAAGCTGGCCAGGACATTTTAAAAGAGCTCCTGTGGTGCCTCCAACTTTGATTTTACAGAGCTGCGGGGAAAGAAACAGGCCGTGTTCAAGAGCTCATGTATTTTGCCTCACATGTTTTGTCCTCGGTCACTGTGAAGGGCCTCACTCAGCTGGGGACCCTGAGGCACACTCTTGGGCAGTCATTCTCTGTCTACTCTGCTAGCTCTGTAGGTTTGCGCTAGGGTCTGGACAGGCAATCCCTGCAAAGGGTATAAAATAAGAAATACCTTGCACTAATTCTTGAAATTTATGCTTATTCTTTCTCAGCAAGAAATTCTCAAAGGATGCATTTGTACAAGATCAGTTAGTTGGGTTTGGATAATATGCCAGTTGGAAACTAAATAGGATGTGTATGTGTGTGTACATCTGTGTGTGTGCGTGTGTGTGTGTATGTGTGGTGAGGGGGTGAGGAAATTATGTTCTACAACTGAGAATGAAGAATATCCATTCCCAGTACCCCAGTATGATTCTCAGTATCATAGTATCACAGTGTTTAAAAACACCTTTTCCCTGTCCTCTCTAGAATATTCAAATATTTAACAAATATTATTGTGAAACTACCGTGTGTATGACATATAGTAGAGAGGATCCTGGACAGAGAGCACCTGGGACTGAATCCCAGCCTTGTAGCTCACCAGTTTCATGAACTTCTACTACTGAGATGCTTTGCAAAACATTTATAAGGTGCTTTGGAAACTCTGAAGTTCCATAACATAGCGCAGGAGGTGGGACAGCAGAGTGATGAAAAGCATGGTCCCTGGAGTCAGAATCCTTGGGTGCAAATCTTGACTTTGACACTTACAGGCTGAGTGACTTTGGTCACATTATTTAATCTCTCTTTATTACTCAGTGTCCACGTCTATAAGATGGGGTGATAATAATAGCATATATTACAGAGGCTTGTTTTTAGGAGCAAATGTGTTAATATATAAGATATTTTAAAAATTTTACTTGGCACATACAAACCATTATTAAGTATTTGATCCTTTAAAACTCTCTCTCTCTCCTGCCCCCATCCCTTCCCCCAAAGCCCATAGTGGTACATGTGTCAGAGCCCTTAGTGGAGGCCTTAGTCAACTCAAACCTCAGATCAGATGTAGGAAGGGATATGGGAAAAGAAATGATAGAAACCAATAAGGAGAATGAGAAAACTCTCAGTTCTTTCTCTTTTCTCATTTCTAGTCACAGATGCTCAATGGCATTTGCAAATGCCTACCCAAATATGCCAACAGCAAAACGAATTTAAAAATAACTTAAATATGATTATAATCTTCATAAGATACTGCATTTAATGCAGTTTCCAAAAGTGACACTCATCCTGGTAGGACATTTCAGGTTCAAGTGCTTCAAGAGCTAACAGAATCATCCCAATGTGGAGGCCCTATAAATGATCACATTGGGAAAAGCATTTTTTTTTTCCTTTTATAAACTCAGTAACAGCAGAAACAGATCATAGTGTCTAGAAGCCACAGTGATAATCTTTCTTATCCAACCATTTTCACTTCAGGATGAAAGACGGTGTTGGGGCCTAGCAGATTTTTCTTGAAGTTTATGATGAGTCAACTACACAGACAAGAAGTCCAGCCTCCTCTTTGATATCTCCCTTTTTCCCTTATCTAAGCCAACTCAGTGTTACTTTTTATTGGATTTCCATTACCTCAGTGTTCTTCATGGAGCCTCAGTTCCTGTAACTGTTACAGCTGATGGTAGTTTAGTACTTTGAACATAATTAATTAAATCACTGCATCACGCAGGCCAGACATATTTCCATCAAAAGTTGCTATCTTGTCTTCCAGCTTAGAAACCTTGGCATAGTGCCTTCTCGGAAAGCCTGGATTACATCTAAAACCATGTGGCAGAGGGAGAAACCAGAGACAGGCCATCCTGAGAAGACTCAGGCTGGGATGAAAGCTCTGCTCTCCAGGGACAAAGTGGCAGGGGACCAGTCATGCTCTGAGATACTCCACTGGGCTGTGAACATTATTCTGAGCAATTTCACTTGCTTTCACACCACCTGCCCCCAAACACTTCTATTATAGTGGCAAATAAATCTGATACCCAACTTCAACCGCACTTTCTTTCCAAAATATATGTAACACTAATACGCCTGGTGTATTTACTGCTTATTATTAACCAATAATCATTTCCATGGAGTATGAAATAAATTTCTCTTTTCTCCAATAATCCCCTAAAGGTTGTCTTTATATGAGGACATTTCCTAAGTCACAACCATTAACCATCTATAAAGAAAGACTCGTTTTTTCCTTTGACTGATGAAGGACTATATGACTGCTACAATGGATAGAAGGAAAGAAGTAAAGGATAGTAGCACTTACTAAACACCTATTATATATCAGTCCTATTCTGTGACTTCAAAGATCTTACATTCATATTGTTAATCTAAGGCTAACAAGCTCATAGTAGTGGCTACCACTTTTAAAGCACTTTCCAATGATCCTGCATTCCATCTCTATGTACTTCTCTTTTCAGTCCTTACTTTTTAAAGAAAAGATACCCTTTCACTTCCAAGTTCCACACAGGTACCAGATATCCCAATGCTCCTACTTCTCATTTTTCCAATAATTCCTAAGTAAGACTGCATTTGCTAAAGTATTCAACAGAATAGCATTACATTCCCCAGTCATAGAGCTATTTCTCTGACTGATGCTTCAGAACTATGCTGTCCAGCATGGTAGCCACCAGACACATGGCTACTGAGCACTTGAAGTGTAGCTAATGTAGCTGCAGAACTAGAGTTTTTTAATTTCACTCAATCTTAATTAACATAAGTTTAAATTTTAAACCAAAAGCAATGTAAATTCACTCAATCTTAATTAACATAAGTTTAAATTTTAAACCAAAAGCAATGTAAAAAGTGAAAATTCACTTACTTCTAGTGTAAAATAAAAACTGGAGCTCAAAAACTAAGTACAAAAACAGTAAAATCTTACAGAAGTAAGTTTAATGTGGCCAGTAGAAAATTTTAAATGACATATGTGGCTCATCTTCTATTTCTATTGGGCAATAATGTTCCAGAAAGAGAATTATAAAGAGAATAAAAAGAGTGTTCTCCACACCTGGAATGCAGAGGGTGAAGAATAGAGGGGGAAATAATGAAAAAAATACTAATTTAACCCAGCTAACTACATGAAAGAAAAATAATTTTATGTGAGACTAAATCATGGACTCATTATGTCCCATAGGGTTGATTTTCCATTCCATGTTCCTCATTAAATTTGACCTTGAGAAATCCTTCACTGGCCACTTCTGGGTGGTAAGCTTGCCTTGGGTGATGCTGACTACTCAATGTCTGGACACATCTCAGCCCTCTATCCTTTAGTAATCCAGTAGAAGATTATAGAAGTTATAATTTTATTCATTCATTCATTCGTTCGTTCGTTCATTCATTTATATCTACCTGATCTGAGATTCATGTTTTTGGATAGCACAATTTGGCGTGCAACCATAATAAATAAATTGAGTTTCAAACATTTTTAAAAGTACTTACATGGTATACTAAACACACAGCTTACAGCAATGGCATTAAATGTCCCCTATGTGATAATTTTGGGGGGGCTTAATGAAATGAAAGGATTACAGAAAATGTTTTTGTCAAAATGATTCTGTAAAGTGAGACTGTAGATCAAAGTTCACCACTGTCAAATATACAACTTGAGAACAAACTAAAGTGCTGCTATTAATCATGGTTTCTGGGGATTTGATGACACAGATTAAACTGCTGTAAAGAATACTGCTGTGCATCATGTTCTTGCAACTGTCATCAGCACTTCTGCCAAGTGTCCACAGATCATGAAGAAAAGCTGCTTAGCCTCTACTGGAGGTATCTCTCTCACTGAGCTTAGTCAAGAATATGAATAGCAGGTTTAAGTTCCTGACAATACCTCAAAGATACTGTATCTGCAAAGCCACTGTTTTCTTAGGGAAGAAAAGGCTTGATGAGTTTGAGAGGCAAAGTAGAGGTGGAACATGAAGCAAGTAAACTGAGATCAGATACTACATGACTTTCATTTCCATTTAACTTTCAAGCAGATAGACTTTCCATAAATACTCTGTAAAATATTTTAAATAATTTATAATGTGCTATATTTCAAAGGTCTGAGGCTATGTAATTTTTTTTTTTTTTTTTTTTTGAGACAGAGTTTTGCTCTGTTGCCCAGGCTGAAGTGCAGTGGTGCTGTTACTGGGTGGGTCTTTGTTCTTAGAGCTCCCAAGATGGTGGTGGGCCACTCTCAAGATGGGGTAGCAAGCCTTTTGTTCTCTGACCTGGGGTTCTCGGCCTCATGGATTCCAAGGAATGGAACCTTGGGCCATGTGGTGAGTGTTATAGCTCTATTAGAAGCCATGGATCATGGAAGAGAACCGAGGAACCCAGCGACTAGTGTTCAGCCCAATTAGGATGAACCCAGGCACTTAGCCACGCAGGAACAATGGCGAGCCTCTAGCCCCAATGGGAGCGTCAATGGGCGCCTCGCTGGATCAGAAATGCAGCAGACACCCTGCCGGATCCGGAGGGGTGGAAGTCAAAGGGGAGTCTGGAAGAACCATTTGTAGTTTTACAGCTTTGATTCTGGAAGACAAACTTAACAAGGAGGTTAAAGATGCAGGGATTGAAATGTATGGCCTGAAGTGCAGGGGCATATGGGTGTGGGTGGTGAAAGTGGGGATTCCTTTAGAAAACCTCCTATACGATGGGTCATCAATATTTCCGGAAAGACACATTCTCCATAGAAGCTATTGGTAAGAGGAGCTACTGGTAGTACACAGCATGGAGGGGATGCAGTGAGTGTGAAAAGGGATAAGAGAACAGTAAAAAGAAAAATATGACAAGGGTGGGCCATGGGCATCTACGATTCTAGTTACTTTTCTCACGGTTGTCACTTGAAGAGCAGGCACAGATCCTCTAGAGGTTCACAGGAATAGCTAGCATTTTCTCCTAGATTTTCGGGTTCCTTTGGCAGTATCCAGGGTTTGACTTGAGTGTGACGTAGGCGAAACTCCACTCCAGCAACTTTAACTGTGGTTGGGGTAGATAAAATGACTGGGTGGGGTCCTTCCTAGTATGCATCTACGGATGGAGAATTAAAGGGAAGGGATTTGACTAATACCATGTCACTAGGTGTCCTCCTCTCGGGGACAGGTTCCCTGTGATGTTTTAAGAACTTGTTGATATTTGGCTAAGGAGGTGATGTCTGCAACTAAGCTGGCTGTCTCTCGGTCAAGCATACGGTCATTGGTTAGGAAGGGCCATCCATACAGCATTTTATATGGGCACTTTTTGGGGAGAGTTATGGATTCTAAGTAAGTCTATAGGCTACAGAGCAGGTCATGTAAGGTGGGTTTCTAGGATTAGCTGTTTTAGATGTCGTTTGAGTGTTTCATTCATTTTCTCGACTTCTCCTGAGGATTGTGGCTTCCAGGCACAGTGTAAGTGACATTGTATGCCTAATGCCTGGGATACTCCCTGGATTACTGCAGCCTTGAAAGCAGGGCCATTGTCACTCTGTAAGCCTGGGGGAAGTCCAAATCTGGGAATTATTTCATGAATTAATGCCTTTATTACCTCTTGGGCCTTTTCTGTCCTATAAGGAAAAGCCTCCACCCAACTAGTGAAAGTATCTACCCAGACTAGTAGATACCGAAATCCCTGAGGTTTGGGCATGTGGGTAAAATCTAGTTGCCAGTCTTCTCCTGGGTAATGGCCTGTTCTTTGTTCTCCTGAAGGAGCTTGGCGATAAGGCAGGGGATTATTTCTTTGGCATGCTTCACAGGCCCTATCTGCTTAATAGTTTTGAAAAGGCCCGGTCCAGTAAATAATGATTTGGCCATCTGATGGGTGCTATCAATGCCTAAGTGAAAGGTCTGGTGAAGGGTTTTAAGTAATTTCCACTGGTTAGCTGCAGACAAAAATACTTTTCCTTCTTCGGTGGCTAGCCATCCTGAGGGGAGGAAACTATGTCCTCCTGAGGTTTCCCATTCTATTTCTTCTGCTGAGTACTGGGGCTTGGTTTTCTGGAGGAGATTATCCCATACTAGAGGTCCTTCTATAAGCATTTCGAATGGAGGGTCCCGACTTGTCGTTCTTTTGGCTTCAATATCCACTTGGCGGTTCCCTTCTATTTTCCTTTCCTTTCCTTTCTGATGACCCTGGCATTGTAAGACTGCCACCTCTTTAGGTTTCTGTACAGCCAATAATTATCTCCTAATGGCTTCCTGATGTTTGACAGGTATTCCCTTGGAAGTCAGGAATTCCCTTTCTCTCCATATTGCTGCATGGGCATGGAGGACTAGGTAAGCATACTTAGAGTATGTATATATATTTACCCTTTTTTCTTCTCCTAATTCTAGCACCCGAATGAGGGCTATTAGTTCTGCCAGCTGAGCGCTAGTTCCTGGAGTGAGGGGATTACTTTAAAGTATTCTATTATCACTGACCACTGCATACCCCACCTTTCAAAGTCCTTTTTCTACAAAGGAGCTTCCATCAGTACACAAGCTGAGGTTGGGGTCAGTCAAGGGAACCTCTAGAAGGTCCCCTTGAGCAGCGTAGGTTTGAATAACTACTTGTTGACAGTTATGTTCTATCTTTTCTTCATTGTCTGGAAGAAATGTGGCTGGGTTAAGAGTTGCGCAAGTGCGCAGTTGCAGCACTGGCCCTTCAAGTAATAGTGACTGATATTTAAGCAAACGGTTGTCTGACAGCCACGAGTCTCCATTAGCAGTGAGTATGCCATTCACATCATGAGATGTCCACACGATAAGATCTCTTCCCTGTATCATTTTAACTGCTTTCCAGATACTAAGACTGCTACTGCTGCCACTACCCATAAACAATGAGGCCAACCCTTTGCCACTACATCAATTTCCTTACTCAGGTATGCCACGGGTTGCAAGCTGGTCCCTTGGACCTGTGTAAGGACTCCTAGAGCTATTCCTGTTTTTTCTGTGAAATACAAAGAAAAGTCTTGCCCAGTTGGCAAGCTTAACACTGGGGCTTGGGTTTGGGCATTCTTTAGGGCCTGAAAAGCTGCTTCTGCTTCGGGT